TAGCTAAGCCATGTTTAACTCAAAACAAAAATAACACTATTCAAAAATATTTCAATTATTAGATATAATCGCATAAAACGTTACATTCAGTTTTTTATTTCACCTTGTTACAATAAAATACCCTATCATATTTTTAATTTAAAGAGACAGGTTCACCATATTTTTTAGTCTCAGAAACAGGAATTTTTTAGCTAAGCTAATCAGTAACAGTGTTCACAGTTCACTGTCGAAATTTGAGCTTTCAAATCCATGTGTGGCTAGAATTATCCACGTTTGAAAGTTAAAATGACGACTCGTCTTTTCTTGAGACACTGTGATATATAGAAAAGACATCAATAGAAATAGAAAGTAAAATTCCTAGTTTGAGATATTTTTGAAGGAATTATGTGATTTTCGTACATTTTTAGTATTTCTGAAGACTATTTACATATATTCAAGACTAAAATCAACTTACAAAATGGTGAACTTATCCCTTTAAAGTGATACTACGTCTTAAAATTAACATAAAATTTATGAATTTTTAACTTGGCCAATTAGAGCACATATTCTACAGTAGATATACCTGGTGTCATAAATAACATAACAGGATCCTTATATAATCCGATAAATCCAAAAAACTTAGTAATTATCCATAAATATACAATTAACTTTTGAAAAACATTTAATATCAAGATTCAATAATGACTTAGTTTTATGAATTTTCCAATTTTCTAGATTTGACAGGGATTCTGTTGTATCTTTATGACACCAGGTAAGTTCACTGATGAATATATACTCATATTGACCATTCCGAGGATTTAATTTTTATGTTCATTCTAAGAGGTAGTTTCCCTTTAAATCATTAATTTTTCCACAGCCTGTCCTAATTTAATAAAATCGTCCATTGTATTATAGACTTGACAACTGAGTCTACAATAATTAACACCGAGATAAGTAACGAACGCAGCGATTATGTTTTCTTTTTCCATTAAATGAACCTTTAATTTAAGAAGCGATTCGCTCGTATTGATGACACCTTTGAGTCGAGGAAGTTGAACGTTGATCATAAACGGAGCTTCCATGGTTTCTGGTATATCTTGCTTGTCTGTTCCCCATAACTTCATCAGATAGTCACTTCCCTCTCGAATCAGCTTCTTATTATACCCGTAAACCTTTTCAAAACCACCGATACTTTCAAAGAAATTCAAACTAGCCTGGGCACAAAAGAATGGAGTATGGTCTCTGGTTCCGTTGTTGATAAATTCTGCGTTCAAACCTTCGTAAAGATGCCATGATGAATTTAAGACGTGTATTTTATCTGTGTGTTGTTTTGCTACGTATAAAATAGCGCAGCCGCGTGGAGCAAACAGCCATTTGTGTAAATTTCCGACGAAAAAATCAGCTCCTAATTCGTCCAAATTCAGCTCAATTTGTCCTGGTGAGTGAGCGCCATCTATTAACGTTAAAACTCCATGTTGACGACAAACTTCGATAATTTCTTTCACTGGCATCAAAATGGCGCTCGGACTGGTTATATAGTCAATGACAGCAATTTTCACGTTTTTGTTATTTTTCAAATAATCACGATACAAATTGATGATGTCATCTTTCGTTTTTATTGGTAGCGTTATTTCTAGAAATCTGGATTCGACTCCCTCTCTAGTTTCTACTATGTATTGAACCAAATTTTTCACACCTTGGTAGGTCAAGTTGGTGCCTAGAATTATGTCCCCTTTCAGGAATTTCAGACTCTTTAAAACTGCACTGGCGCCAGTCGTAGCATTTTCTACAAAAACCATACAATCAGTGTGCTTGACATTGACAAATTTACACAACGCTGCCTTGGAATCGTTCCAATATTTTTGAATAATTTTCCGATACCAAAAATCAGGATTCTCTTCCTGTTCTTTTAGAATAGTCAATCTGTATTCGTAGACCCGTCGTGGCACCGTTCCGTACGAGCCATGATTCAGATGAACACATTTTTCTTTCAAGAGAAATTCCTGTTTTTTCAAAGAGGCTCCAAATTCCACATTTTCTAAGTCTTGCATATCCATTTTGTTGTTAAATGAGAACTTAATAATGACTTCGTTCAAGATATACAACAAATATAATCATC